AGGTTGGTTTTTTTTTCTTTTTTGATATTCCCAGCTGGATGTAGCTTAGGACATTGATTTGTTACCTTCTTCTATAGATGAGCTACAGAGAAAGAGAATGGCCATTGATTGGCTTAGGAATGTCTCCTGTGTTCACTTCTATGGAGTCAAATCATCAAACGGTTTCAAACTGCTTTGGGAGAGATTGAGAGTAAAAAAAATAGAGATCATCTACCAACCTTTCCTTTGGGGCTGCAAAACCATTGAATAACCACTAGTGGGCAGCCAAGAGGTATATGGTCTCCCTCTAACTATGTGCTGCCATCATGTGGTCATTAGGAACTCTGCAACCCAGATGTTGTTATGAATATGGAATAAACATTAACCCAGACTGTATCTGAAGATATCATTACTGACATCCATAGAAGAAGAATTTTATAGAAGAGAATGTCAGGGCCACCTGTTAAATTCCAGTTAAGCTTATTTATTGCTCATGCCTATACACAAGAAGCTAGTCAACTAACAGCACTAAATTGGTGCTAGATAAGAGTCAACGGAATTCAAGAGGGATTGAACTTAGACCCCTAAGTTCATAAGGATTCATAAAGAACATAAGGATTCCAAGCTGATTCCTCTCTTCACTCCATCTCCATCCCCAGGCTCTGCCTTTGCTTCTCCCACAGAGAAACAGATAAAGAATAATGATACGATAAACAACCATGAGCTCAACAATCAGCAGATAAAGAACAATGAGGATTTAATAGTAGAAGATAAGAAAGAAATTAAGATGAAGACCAGGGAACAATTCACAGCAGAAGGACATTCTTCTCAAAGGTTTCCGTACAATCGGGTGAAAAGCAGATTTAATATAGACAAAAGGATAATTGGAATGGAGAAGAAGACAACTGAATCTGAAATCGTGTATGGGGTAAATGAGCTGCAAATTTTGGTTATAATCTAAATGTGGTCATATGGGAAAAACTGTGGGGAACTGGTGTTAAATTTACCTCAGATTCTAATTTAAGACAGATGTCTATGGAGATTCTCAGTCATCCAGGTCAGGGTTGTCCCAAAGGTGTTTTTTTTCAAAAGGCAACTGGACTTTCTTTGTTTTTGCTTGAAAACATTTTGCTTCTCATCCAAGAAGCTTCTTCAGTTCTTGAACAAGGATAACTCTGAAGAAATGAAGAAGCTTCTTGGATAAGAAGCGAAATGTCTTCAAGCAAAAACAAAGAAAGTCCAGTTGCCTTTTGAAAAAAAAACACCTTTGGGATTTAAGACAGAGGTGCTGGCTCTATTCTCCACCATCTTACAATAATAATAATAAAGTTGGAAGGGAACCTTGGAGGTCATCAAGTCCAACCCCCTGCTCAGGCAGGAAACCCTATACCATTTTGGACAAATGGCTGTCCAGTCTCTTCTTAAAAATTTCCAGTGTTAGGAGCATTCACCGCTTCTAGAGGCAGGTTGTTCCACTGGTTAATTGTTCCAACTGTCAGGAAGTTTCTCCTTAGTTCTAGGTTGCTTCTCTCCTTGATGAGTTTCCATCCGTTGCTTCTTGTCCTGCCTTCAGGCGCTTTGGAAAATAGTTTGACTCCCTCTTCTTTGGGGCAGCCCCTGAGATACTGGAAGGCTGCTATCATGTCCCCCCTGGTCCTTCTCTTTATTAAACTAGACACACCCAATTCCAGCAACCGTTCTTTGCATGTTTTAGCCTCCAGTCCCCTGATCATCTTTGGTGCTCTTCTCTGCACTTTTTCTAGAGTCTCAGCATCTTTTTTACATAGTGGTGACCAAAACTGGATGCCGTATTTCAAATGTGGCCTCACCAAGGCATTGTAAAGTGGTATTAATACTTCACGTGATCTTGAGTCTACCCCTCTTCATTAAGAGATGAAGGACTTTGAAATGTAATATGAGATCTTCGCAAAACAATACTGCTTAACCAAACAGAACTGCAAGACCGTCCCTTCTTATTACTTTCATAAATCCGAAATAAAACCAGGTTGTATTCCTAGGACCCTTAAAAAAAAAAAGATTGTGATCATTTGGCTTGGATGTGGAAGACTGCCCTCCGTATTATGATTTTGGGTTCTTCTTCTAAGGGCATTATTTTCCCCACCTCTATGAATTTTCTTGTAACATGAAAAAAAAAAAGAGAAAGAGGAAGGGAAAAAAAATGTGAGTAAATTGTTGGCTTTTCTCCTCTTCAAAGAAAACTGCATTTTGCTGATGGAGCAGGGAGGTTTGATAATGAAACACCATGGGGTAATAAAGCAGGAAAGGTAAAATTATTTAAAGTGGACTGTTATGTAGCTCTTCCACACACGAAGGATTATTGTTCCTCTCCTTTCTTTTTCTTTTTTTTTTCTTTCTTCTTTTTCCCCTAAAAAACCCAGCCTTTTTGCTTTAATAGCAAAAATGAAATCCATCCCTTTGTTGGATGTTGGTGCTTTTTGGAAATAGGTGTGGATAACAGCGCAGCCTGGGGAATTCAAGAATAAATGTGGCATAGAGGCGAAGGGGAGAAAGAAAAAGGAATAAATATTTAATCAACCGACTGCTTTTCAAGGGCGGAAAAATGGGGAGCCGGCGAGAGCTCGGGGAAGAGCTACCTTTTAATTTTATCAATACCTTTAAAACAATGGCAGCCACCCAGGCAGCCGAGAAAGAAAGGAACATCTGTTGAAGAAGCTGCAATTGGACACTCGGCGCGGTTTTATATCTCACGGCTGTCGTGGTTGCCAGCCAAAATCGCAGGGCAAGAGAGGAAAC